AACTTCCCTCTGCTCTCTCTTCCTTCCTCAAGAAGCATCTTGAGACTAGTGATAAAATCCAGGCTTCAGCCAGCATTGGGTGGGGTATCTACAAAAAAGGTGTTGACATTTCATGAGGCCACATGTTAATTGTTTTCTGTCTCTCTCTAAAATTTCCTTTGGGTCCCAATAGTTTTGAATTTAGTAGTAAACATTTAAGCATCATTACTTTATAGGATTTCATACACTGTGTTTTGCTGCAGCATTTCCAGACATGGATGGGCTGATCTCTGCCAAGAACATATGTCCTTCCAGTGGTGAAATACTCTTTGGAACCTCTTTGGGCAAAATATCTCTCAGTATTCTTAGAGAAGCAAGAGTTCATGTATGATCTTGCTGAAGGCATGGGTGAAAAAGAGGATCAGCTGTGAGACAGTAGCGAGTAGCCCCCAGCTCCTTTGGAAGGCACAGGGAGAACATGAGAAAACATCATGGGTAAAGTTTATTGCTCAACAAAACACCTCCAGGTTATGAAGGAGGCTCTGCCAGATCGTAGCTAACATATGGCATTCCAGGTTGTCTGACATGGTTTCATGCTCTGAGTATGGGTCTGGGACCTTTTCATTTTTGGCTTTGACATTACCCCAGAGACTCTCTGCCTTGGGCAAAATGGTCAGAACCATTCTTTGGCCTCATTTTTTTAATGCTGATCAGGGTTGGCATGATCATGTGCAGCTCCCTCAGTGCTGGTGGGGATGCTGCCTGCTGTGGTCTTTGGTCCAAAATGCTCTATGGAAACGTTAAAGATGGCAGGAGGATCTCCACGTAGCCTTGCAGAGCTGGACTCCAGCCCTCCACATGGCCAGGGTAGCTCCCTCCTTCTGTCATGCTCACTTTGTTTTTCCCTTTATTTGCCATGCAAACATTCCCATCCCTTCCATTCAGTGGTGGTCCCTCTGCTCCCACCCACAGCCCTCTTTGGGCCACACTGGGTTCCAGGCTGGTCCCATCCCTGCTGGCAGCTCCTCACCTACATCTGCTGGAGTTTTCTCAGAGATGTAGCAAGCAAGATCTGCCTGTTAATGCCACGTTTACACTGAGCCACAGGTCTTTGCACCCTTCTCTTAATTGTCTGTTTCCAGGAACCAAAGGAAAAAGGAAAGCCCAGCACTTTGCACGGGGCCATTAACTGGCCATAAAAGGGTTTTGCCACAGAGAGGCTGGGTGGTCAAGTGGTCTGAGAACAAGATTGGAAACCATCACCTCCCAAGTTCCCAAACTGTTCATGTCACTGAGCATCTCTGAGGGGTGGTGCTTCACCCCATATGTCTCTGTTTACCATTGGTAGAACAGAGCTATTAATACTGCTGTGCTTCAGGGTGATCTTTTGCACTGTAATTAATGCTAAAACCTTCTGAGATCACGCTCTGGAAGGAGCTGGAGGGGTGCTGAGGGCTGTGTACAGTGGGGCTGCCCCCTTCCACCAGAGCAGCCTTTATTGGTGCTGATTCCAAAAGGGAATAGCAATGAAAACCTTTCCTTGAGAAAACATCATGGGTAAAGTTTATTGCTCAACAAAACACCTCCAGGTTATGAAGGAGGCTCTGCCAGATCGTAGCTACCATATGGCATTCCAGGTTGTCTGACATGGTTTCATGCTCTGAGTATGGGTCTGGGACCTTTTCATTTTTGGCTTTGACATTGCCCCAGAGACTCTCTGCCTTGGGCAAAATGGTCAGAACCATTCTTTGGCCTCATTTTTTTAATGCTGATCAGGGTTGGCATGATCATGTGCAGCTCCCTCAGTGCTGGTGGGGATGCTGCCTGCTGTGGTCTTTGGTCCAAAATGCTCTATGGAAACGTTAAAGATGGCAGGAGGATCTCCACGTAGCCTTGCAGAGCTGGACTCCAGCCCTCCACATGGCCAGGGTAGCTCCCTCCTTCTGTCATGCTCACTTTGTTTTTCCCTTTATTTGCCATGCAAACATTCCCATCCCTTCCATTCAGTGGTGGTCCCTCTGCTCCCACCCACAGCCCTCTTTGGGCCACACTGGGTTCCAGGCTGGTCCCATCCCTGCTGGCAGCTCCTCACCTACATCTGCTGGAGTTTGCTCAGAGATGTAGCAAGCAAGATCTGCCTGTTAATGCCACGTTTACACTGAGCCACAGGTCTTTGCACCCTTCTCTTAATTGTCTGTTTCCAGGAACCAAAGGAAAAAGGAAAGCCCAGCACTTTGCACGGGGCCATTAACTGGCCATAAAAGGGTTTTGCCACAGAGAGGCTGGGTGGTCAAGTGGTCTGAGAACAAGATTGGAAACCATCACCTCCCAAGTTCCCAAACTGTTCATGTCACTGAGCATCTCTGAGGGGTGGTGCTTCACCCCATATGTCTCTGTTTACCATTGGTAGAACAGAGCTATTAATACTGCTGTGCTTCAGGGTGATCTTTTGCACTGTAATTAATGCTAAAACCTTCTGAGATCACGCTCTGGAAGGAGCTGGAGGGGTGCTGAGGGCTGTGTACAGTGGGGCTGCCCCCTTCCACCAGAGCAGCCTTTATTGGTGCTGATTCCAAAAGGGAATAGCAATGAAAACCTTTCCTCTAAGGTCGCTGAGAGAAGATTGCTTTCAGGGAAAACAAGTAAAAAGTAAATAAATGGACCAGATTAAAATAACTTAGATTCTGATATTTTTCCATTTATATTTCGATTATTTTATTTATTATTATTATTTTTTGTATCATCTGAAAAAATTATGGCTTGTTGATACATGTTTTTTAACCCAGGTCTGATCAGTACAAATGCTCTTGACAGCTGAGTGACTTCGTTTCTGTGTGTGCTGGGCAGGGGGGGAAATTGCAAAGGGCTAAAACGGGTCTTTAACATCACCCAAAGGAATGGATGTGCTTTAACACCCCTGCCAAGCAGAGCTGCTCCCTCCTGACTCCACTGGTGATGCAGTAGGTGATGTGGGCACTAATTGCCAAATATTACAATTGTGTTTTGATGAAAGTCCATCGTTTTTCAAGGCAAGTGCTCTGGCACTGATTGCCTCAGAGCTAATGGAACTGACCTGCCTGAGCTGCTAAAGGCAGCAGAGGTTACACATTAGCTGTTCTCATGCATTTGAAAAAGAAAACACAACCCCACAACCACTGTGGCTAAGCAGGTGACCCCTGGTTGAAGTTCAAGATCAGGTCACAGCAATAACCTGCTCCTCAACCCTCTTACTGTTTGTTGTGCCTGTGCTGATGAGCCAGAAGAGCCTTGTCCACTGCTGAGCACCTGGATGGGTAGCAGGGTTCCTGGTGTCTCTGCCCAGACCTCCAGCTGTGGAGTCCCTGGTCTCACTGGAAGCAAGACCTCTCACTGGGTGCCCCTTTTGCAGGTGCTTTTTGGACCTGAAGAGGAGGGATCCAAGCTGCTGAGCTGCAAAGGACACAACCTGACCTGCTCACAGCAGCAGACTCCTTGCTTACCTTGAACCCTGCTGAAGGCGGGAGGAGGGATAGTGGCACCTCCGGGATGGGCTGCAAAGCTCTGAAGTCAGACACTGCCCTGAATTTGATATTACCCTATTGCTCTGCTGCTGTCCCTTAGTTACAGTGGGAGAACAGCCTGTGTGTGGTACTTGTGAAGCTGCAGTTGTGGATGCCCTTCCTGAGATGCTCCCACTCTGAGCAACATTCCTTATAAATTAAGGAAAATGATGTAATTGCAAAGCATTAAATAGCATCTCCTTGGGTGAGCTCAGCGTGTGCGTCCCTGGCATGCCCCAGCTTTGTGAAAATGGGAACTCACACAAGTGAGTTCCTTGTCAGTCTGCTGGCATCCTTTCAGACAGCAAGTATTGTTAAGGAACTCATGCTAATTGCCCGAAGAGAATATGTCCTGTGCTGGGAATTGCTACTGTGCAAATGTCAGCTGCTATCAGCCACATGTGGGGTGCACAGGGGGGTGCTGCTCGTATGTGGGGTGAGAAAAAGGAGGCATTGCTTCTGCCCCCATTAAGGATGTTGAGGAGTTAGGACCATTCCTTAAGTAAACATCCCTCATGGTCTGAATCCCATTTAAGCTTCAGCAGCTTTTATGGTGTTCTTTGCACTCACTTGCAGGAGCTGCTGGGCTTTACCTTAGGATAAGGGGTGGGGGGGGTTGTGTTCTTTCTCGGGAGCTGGATACCCCAGGGCCAGGCATCCCAGACCTCTGGGGGCTTTGAGGCAGCTCCTGCACTTTATCAAAGCCAGCTCGAGTTTCTGTGCCTGGCTCAGGGTGAATAAATCTGAACAGATGCTTTGTGGGAGAGTGGATGGAAGATTGTCACCCCTGCTGCTAAGAACCATTCTCATTTTGGAGCTTTGATACTCTGACCAGGACTCTGAACTCGGCATCCTGGGACGTCCTGTGCAGCCACAGCCTGTTTATTCAACGTTTCAGCTGGCACAAAAGCTGTGTTTTACTGTCAGATGCTCTCCATTAGCTTCAAGTGTGAAATTATCATTCCCACCCTTTTACAAACCCCACCCTGGTGGGGAAATGAGGGAGAAAACAACCTCGAGGGCTGCTCACAGGATGTGTACGAGCTGTCACTTGTCAGCACAGAACCCGCTTATGGCAGGAATTACTGCTTCTCTCTCAGGAAGGCCAGAGAGGAGCCCAGCCTGCAAACACCACAGCTCTATAACGTTCACATGGGCACACGGTGAAGCAGCCCCAGAGATGTTTCCACCCTTTTGCAGTCTCCTGGCAGCAGACTGCAACCCCATAGGGCTCAAGGGGATACAGGAGGATAGGAAATGCAGCTCAGCAGGTGGGGACACAGTGGCCCCATCATGGCCCTGGCTCCTTTCTCTGGGTGCTCTCCTGTTCTAAGCCCCAGATCATCTCAAATCTCCTTGAGATGCCAAAATTGACTGATACACATTTTCCCTTTCTTTTGTGAAGGCAAGTTCCCATAACAATGTGGTGGTGTGGGACTGAGGGATAAAGACTCTGTTTTCCTTTTGCTTCCTGCCTTCCAGATTTACCCTGTATGCTGTGGATACACGAGGGAGACACTCAGAGCTGAGCACTGTCACCCTGAGGACAGCCTGCCCGCTGGTGGACGACAGCAAGGCAGAAGGTCAGTGCCTCATTTTCCACAACATAAGACATTTCCTGCTAATTTTGCTTTCCCTTTATTCATTTTACTCCTACAGGCCCCTCCAGTCCCTCCTCTCGTGCTGTGAAATTTGTGTAAATCCACCCATGAGCACAGGGACATTTACCTGGGGGGGGAGGGTGTGACATATTGCAAGAGTTCCTGATAGGCAAGTCCCCTGGGCTGGGCAGCTGGTGGCTCCCATGGGCCTGTGGCACAGCTTCCTTCCCCATACATGGGGGTGGGAGCTGATAAGGTGTTTGACACACATTCCCTCAAAATGAGCCATCTCTTCTCATGAAAGCAAGAGAGGCAGCCCTTGCTGGGCCAGGGCAGGGACACTGGTGGCTTTGGGTGCTTCAAAGGAGGAAGGTGACAGCTGGTTTTATTTGGAAACACCCGATAAAAGCCCAGCCACTTTTGCACATATTCATTTTCCTATTTTGAAACCAAGCCCATTTGTTTTTAGACCCAGAACACTTGGTTGCTTTCAAATTTCAAAAGATTCCTCTAAGTGAAAGGCAGGTTACCTGCTTTCTTTCTTGTTTGCTTTCTGTTTTGAAAGACACACAAGAGGAAGTTTTGATGAATGCTTTGTTCCATGTTATTAATAAGCATCCACAGGAAAAATAAGCAAATGGGAGAAAAGGAAGAAAATGAGGTTATGTGCATTTTTAATTTCCAAAAAGAGATCCTTTTCTACAGCAGAGCTCCTGTTTAACACATCTGAGCTGCCCATGACACTGATGTACTGTATTTCTGCCATCTTCTTACCAAGGTGTTGTGTTCTTCCTGCCCTTTAGCATCAGAGCCGTGCAATGGGCTTTTGGTTTGGGGACTTAGGGAAGAGCCTGCCTGCCCTACCTGGGAGGATAAAGCTGCACCTGACCTGCTGGCAGTCCTCCTTCTCTCCTTCTCCCATTCTTTCATGGAATGTCACTGGAATGTTTGAGGCTGCTCTGCTCATGCAGGGCACTGGCTGCAGGATTAGCCTGAGGAGTTGCTAAGTGCTCCCCAGGTCACTAAACTCTGCTGCAGGCAGTCCCAAGGGCCTGGCAGCCATCCCTGGTGCCTGCCCCTCCTGCCAGCCCTGCCAAGGGCTTCACTCCTCCTCCTTCTGTGTTGGCACCTTCTGGCTGCTCATTAATCCCGTTCCCCTGATCCCTTCCAGAGATAGCTGACAAAATCTACAACCTCTACAACGGCTACACCAGCGGGAAGGAGCAGCAGACAGCCTACAACACCCTGATGGAGGTCTCTTCCGAGTCCAGCACCACTACAACTCCCACTATGAGAAGTTTGGAGACTTCGTCTGGCGCAGTGAGGATGAGCTGGGGCCCAGGTATTTGTCCCTTCCCTGCATCCTACCCTGCCCCAGCCACTGTGGATGTGACCCTCATTGCCTTCTCCTTGTAGCTGAGAGATGTTCCCTTTTGGTGTTCACCAAGCTGTCCTGCCATCCCGTAGGACCACCAGGTCCCACTTGGTCTTATGGGACATCTAGCAGCTGGGTGGTCTTTGGATGAATGTGTGTGGAACATCTAGGCACCAACCTGAACCAGGAGGATGATGCTGCAGATGAGCTGAGTGTGTTGAAGAAGCTGGGGAATGGGGGAAAGTGATGTAAATGGGGACCAACTCAGATTGTGTTTAGTTGTAGATGGGACCATGGCTGCCCCAGGGCTCAGACATGCCCTCATGAATGGCAGGGTGGGTGTTGGAAATAATGACTGAGGGCATGAAGCAAAAAATGCAGCAGTTAGGTATGTGATGAGTGATGTGGACAGTGAGAAATGTTAGGATCAGGAGCTGCAGTGTGGAGGTACCTGTGCTCCTCAAGGGTATTTGAGGAATACAGGGCAAGGCCATTCCAATACTGTGTAGTGCTGGTGCATGTCAAACACCCAGTAATGAGGAGCAGCAGGATCCTTCCTAGGCATTTTTTGCTGGAGAACACTGGTGTCAAGGATATGATGTGACCTCTAGGACTGCCCCCCATTCCCCCCCATAGTTGGATGGATTCTGCATCCAGGAGAGATTCATTCCTCCACACCTAGACAGTGTTTTCTGTGGGGAGTCGAGGAGAGAACTGCTCCTCCAGGTGTGGCTTTGGCACCTGCTACCTCCTGGTGTGGTTTGGGATGTGTGTGACAATGCAAACACCTTGCTGCACGGGGGTTGTTCTTGTGTGAAAATAGTTTTGAGCCCCAGGAAGGGCAGAGCTGAGGTGCTAGGGAGCAGATTATTACTTTTGTCTGTAGACTGACTATTTGATACCATCAGAGGGGTTAATGATTAAGCAATCTCTATGTGGTAAAGCTGGCTCTTCTAAACAGTATATTTCGTGGACATTTCCTTGTATTTTATATATATTTGACATATATTTATTCTCACAGTAATATATGGTTGCCACACAAACTGTAAATATTTCCAAAATTCCCTTTTCCACCTTCCCTCTCTCCCGAAAGAATAATTCAGCTTGCTGATGTAGACACTAGAAAGATCCTCCTAAATTTTAGCCTGGTGGTGCCCCTGACACTGTGCAAGTTTGCCAGCAAGCACACAGCACCTCATCTGTTACATACGTTCAGCTTTGTGCTGGAAATATTTTCCATTTGCTATGCATTTCATGCTCTGAGGAGGGCTGGGAGAGGATTGTTTCTGTGACTATAAAGAGGGACCTTTCCAGTGGGGCTGCACCTGCAAATGTTCAGTGTGCAGTGAAAGGGATGGCAGGACTCAGAGATCACAGGTATGTGAACTACATTGTACCCAGGTAGCTGGTAGTGTCCTGGCAGTGTCCTGGCAGTGTCCTGGCAGTGTCCTGGCAGTGTCCTGGCAGTGTCCTGGCAGTGTCCTGGCAGTGTCCTGGCAGTGTCCTGGCAGTGTCCTGGCAGTGTCCTGGCAGTGTCCTGGCAGTGTCCTGGCAGTGTCCTGGCAGTGTCCTGGCAGTGTCCTGGCAGTGTCCTGGCAGTGTCCTGGCAGTGTCCTGGCAGTGTCCTGGCAGTGTCCTGGCAGTGTTCCGGCAGTGTCCCAGCAAAGGTCAGACTGCCACTGAGTTTTTTGGGAAGCACCCTGCAAGAAATGCTCAGAAGTAACCATATCCCTCTGGACATCTTGAGATCACTTACAGGATTCTAATAGCCTTGACCTGCTTTGAAGCTTTCAGAGTCACAGTTCATCCAGTGTCCTCATCTAACATGTTCTCTGAGAAGCTGGAGCAGAGGAAGGTGGAGGAATGGGGTCCTGCCATGCATGAACAACTGTAAAAGATTTTCTTTCTGTCCCCCCTTCCCCTCTCTGCTTGTTGGACATGGCTGAGGATCTGTGCATAATACCAGGATGACAGCTTCTCACAACAGTTTGCACTCCTCCTGGACATAAATCCAAGCTGGCCTGGGGCTTGCCCTCCTCAGAGTTCCTTTGGTAGTTCATTAGCCTCTGGCACAGAGCCATTCTCATTCTTCCCACTGCCATTCTCCTCTGTGATTACACTTGTTTGTCCTTTTCAATTCTTCTCTCCCTAAATCCCTGAGAACCATCAGCCTCTTCTCACACATCCTTATTTTCTGTTACTTGAGATGCAGAACATTTCCTGAAGGGTGTCTCTAACCTGATACCTGCATCAAGACATGGGATTTTCAAGGTGACATTTCAATTGCCTGACTCTGTATCAAGCTACGTCTGGAGTCAGTGGTCGATGGGGCTGCTCTCTGCTTGCCTCATTGAGCCAGACGAGCTCCTCACAGCACTGATATGTTCTGTACTTGAGAACCATGGCACTTGTAGCCAAGGGTAAGCACCTATAAATGCCATGGCAGCTGGTGCCAGGCTCTTGACAAGAGTGAAGCTCTGCCACCCAGCCTTGCGTCTCAGGGAGCTTGGACAGAAACAGAGGCACTGACGTAGCAGGAGGCAAGTGATGATTTGCCAAGGGAGGCATCTCCTTTGCCATCTCCTAACACGATTTTAATGGACAGACTCTTCTCCTTCCCAGGGGGACACTCATTTTCGTACCTTGAAATGTTTATCAGATGAGCCTCAGCTTCACAGCAAATGTCCACTCATAAAACTGAGCAACAAGAGGGAACCTGATTGCCTCTGTGTAATAAATACATCACTCTGGAGTCCTCGTGAGCCCAGTTTCCATGAAAGCCCCAGGTTACTGCAAACAGCTGCTTGCAAGAAGACACGCTGACAGCCAGATGTCCCAAACAGACCGTTTACATTAAGGAGACATTAAAAACTTAGCTCATAGGTGGCCCTAACCCAGGACTTTCTGTGGTCAGCAGCATCTTGGCACCTGGCTTGCCTCATCCTGCTAGTCTCCTTTAGCAACAACAACCCCTTTCCTGCTCCCCCCGTTCCTCTTACAGACACCAAGTGAATCTCACAGAGTTAATTTGTTCCAACAAAACAGAGGAATCTGTGGAAAGCAGCGATGGTTTGATGCTACTGTGCACTCAGGCCTTTGGATCTGAGCAGCCAAAGTGCTTCCTGACACAGTGACAGGGAGATGTCATTACTTTCTTACTGTGTTTTTGGGACAATTCTTACTGCAAACAGAACCTGGCTTTTAGGAGGAGGCAGGAAAAATAATTAAGTTAAAAAATCTTCCTTCCATGCCTTTATTTGTGGCTACCAGCAGCAATGAGGTCAGGATGTGGCATCAGCCCGGGTCTCACAGCCTCTGCTTTGCTCGAGCAAGTGGCTCAGGCAGGAGACCAAGTGCATCTCCAGAGCAGCTGCCTTCTGGTACCGAGGGGGAATGCAATGTACTGATGGGAGGCTGTGATAAGAGGCCATCGAGTCCTGGACTCATTGTCCTCCCACATGAGGGTCTGGCAGACCCAGGTCATTTCTCAGTAGAGTGGAACTGAATTTATTACAAAATTGCCCCGTGTGGGAACAGAGCAGCCAGGCAGCCACCCTCTCCCTGCAGCAGTCCAGGGAATTTCATACTTCCCTCCACCCCAGGTATCATTTCTTCTGTGCTTTGTCATGCTGGTTCATTCTCTTTTTAGCACCTCCCTTCTAGGTGAGATAGGACAGGGGTTTGTTGGCTCCAGATATGTTTTGATCCCCCACCAGCCATCAAGGTAAGTGATGGAAGTCCCCTGTGCATCTGGGGGACAAATGTCCCTGATGGAGCACCCTTTGGGCTGAGTCGAGCAGGAGGTAACATGTCTCCTGCTCTTGGACACATCCTTGCAGAGCTGGGACAGGCAACCATGGACCTTCAGGGCCCTGTCCTCTGGGCAGTCACTGCACTGACACCCTTGCTGTGGGGCTGCTGGTTCATGCACAAATCCTCAGAAAGTGCCCTGGCAGCAGACATCCCTTCCCCTTTCCTCCCCCCCACCATGGCACAAGGTACTGCAGAGGGAAGCAACCACATAGAACTGTCAGTACTTTTAAATCCCCCTCTTCATCATTTATGACAGTGGCTGTGACCCCCTTAACCCTTCATGTACGTGGAGACCAGAATCAGTCCCTGGCTGGTGCTGATTTATAACCATGGCCCCCATGGCAGGCACGTGAGGGGGTGGGAGGGCACTGCTGGTTCATGCCAGTGTGTGGACACCCCCAATCTGGGCTGTGGAAGGGGTTCTCTTTCATCCCTTTGAGGATCTGAGAGCTTGGGGTTTGGCCACATGAGAGTGACTACCCTATTGCTTGCTCCCCTGCCATCCTCTCCCAGGTTCTGCCCTTTAATAAGGCAATAAATTGCTGCTCCTGGCAGGGATGAGGTGGGGCAGAATTTAGGAAGATTTCATTTCCAGTATTTGAAAAGGTGGTCGTTCTGACCCAACAGCCTTCCACAGGGAGCACTTGGGTAATACCCAGGGCTTGATTTATGGTGTTAAATTGGCAGCCCAAGAACTGCTCCTGTAATTTATTACCCAGCCTTCCCCAGAAAGCCTCTCTCTCTCTCTTGCCCCTCCCCTTGCCCACTCTGTCTCTCTCTTTTTATTTTTTTTGAAGAGGGAGCAGCTGACAACCAAAAGCTAATTCTAACATTTACACATTGCTTCATTACTCCACTGAAAGAAATGACTCAAAGTGGTGAGGGGCCTGATTCCTTCCCCCTCCCAATCACCCCTTCTCCTCCTTGACAACGATGCAGTGTGTTTTCAGCATCCCCCCAGGGCCCACCCATCATGTGCTACATCCCACCCTTGAATGTTGGTTCTTTCCCAGGACCAACTGCACTGAGCACAACTGGAGATGCAGCAGGTGTCTGGAGACCAGCTCCACGAGGAGCACAGCCTTTGGCACATAAGATATCAGATGGTTTCACCCCTGCACTTCTTGCCAACTTTGAGTTCCTCCTCAAACATAGGAATGTTTGCCTGGGTAAGAAACCTGGGAATGTATCAGAAAGCAGGACTGACATGGTGATTTTTAGCTAAATCCAGAAGGTCATGGAAGTATGGTGGAGCAAGGAATGAAAATGGTAGAGAATGAATGGCAGAGAATGGTAGAAAGAAAAAGGTAGAGAAATGGAGGTAAAGGCAGGTTGTGTGAAAGAAAGAGAGACGAGTGAAGAAAACTATGGAGGGTAGCAGGAAGGTGGAGTGCTGAAAAGGGAGGAGGGGAAGAGAAGAGCTTGGCCAGCAAAAGTGTAAGTGCATGCTGAAAAGTCCACTCCTTGTGTTGTTAGGGCCAAGTCATGTTTACCCCTCACTGGGGCTTTCTTAAAGGGCTTATTAAAGAACACGTTGTCACTCCCCACTTGCTGTGGCTGGGAAAGGCCTTGTGGTGAACTGCAATGAGATCCAACACAGGGGAAAATCCATTGGTTGCTGGTTTGGTGTTTGGATGGACAACTGCCTCGTGTCAGCACAGTATTCAGGTCCACATACACCTGCACAGGCACATATGGGCTGGGGAAGGACCAACACTGCTTTTTTGGCAGGAGAGATTATTTAGAATAATGAAGGGTGATATGAACCTGTGGTTACTCTTTTTGAGAAGGAGGGTGTCCTGGCTAAGTGCTGTCCTCCTGAGCACTGTCAACTCACATAAAAGTCCATCCTATGAGCTGACCCTGGGACTTGCTCTCACTCAGCCTTCTCTAAAAAAGAAACAACAACAAAAAAAAAAACCCACCTGAATCAGTGCAGCTGGTAAGAAACAATTTCTCAGCATTAGGCTGGGTGAGCAGTGGAAGCTCACCAGCTCTGGGCTCTAAGAACAGCTTAGACAGTCATCAAGGCAGGTTAATCCCAGCAAGAAAATGGCAGAGGTGATTCTGGTTGGTCCCTTCCAGCCCCAGTGACTATGAAGTTTGTTAATTGTAGTGACAGTCATGGCAGACTTTGGTTTGCTGCTCAGCTGAGCTTTAATCAATCAGGCTTTATTAAGACCATCTTATACCATCATAAAATTTCGTAACCTGTCCACAGGAGGCATCCAGCAGTGACAGACCTGGGCTTGACAGTGTGTCAGGTGCACAGTGGGAGCACCAGATGCTGTAGATGGTCAGGTGGCTGCTATGGAGAGTAGAGTTTTTCTGTCAGCTGTGCTGTCACCCCATGACATCACTGTGATATATGTGTGTGTATCACTAATGAGGCTCAGATTGCCTGGTCAGGCTTGTCTTTATCAATTACATTGATACATGGCAAGATGTAGTGTTGGGTCAGGATGAGCCAACTCTGCTCTTCCCTTCCCCTGGAAAGCTGACTCTGAGCCTGTCAGCCCTGGGTTGAAGTGGGTAAGTTTTCCATGTGCAGCAGTGGTTTCCTACAGCCTTTTATCCAGTCTTCCCCCTCCTGAGGGAGAGGCCTGTAACTGGCTGGGTTTGCTGGGATGTCCTCTTGCCTCTTGCTGTGTCTGCCCTCTACTCTGCCACTGGGGTGACTCTGGCCTGTCCTTCCCAGCCACCCCTCCTTGGTGCCATCAGGCTCCTGAAGCTCCCCTCCTGGCTGGGAGCTCACAGCCCGGGCTGCAACACCCCTGTGCTTTCATAATCAAATAATCCCCATGTTTATGCCTCTCTGACCGCCAGCGCTGCCCTGACGTGTCATTATCGGGAATTTACATTCCTGCAGGAATGGCAAAACCCCCCAGCCCCAAATCCAGAGCTTTCCTGTGGCACCAGAGGGAGAGGAAATAATCTGTGATCTTTAGACTTTCAGACCACTGAAGTAAACCCTCTTCCCCTCCCTTTGTTTGATTTAACACTTTGCAGACTCCCATGAGGGGATTCTTGGTTTCTTATGGATTTATTTTGTTTTGTTAATGTGTTGTGCTTTTTTTTCTTGCTCTTCTAGTGTCAGTCCTTTTGGGCCATTTGCCTCCCGGGGACTTGGGAAAACAGGAAAGGGTGGGCTGGGCTCATTGGTCAGAAGCAGGAGGGTGCTGGGCATTTCACCAGGGTGCATGTGCTGGAGCCTGCCAGGGCCACACGGTGCTGGTGGTGACCAGGGGCAGAGAGTGTCCCCAGGGCATTCAAGGTACTCTAGTGGGTCACACCTGGGATCCCACCTGCCCTGTTGACCTGGTGCTGTAAAACAGTAGATGTACCCAGAACTTTTGGGTAAAACAGAACTTCTCTCCACTTGAGACAGGATGTCTTTAGGCAATGATCTCATCTGTTCTTGTCACAAGACCCATCTGGTTGTGGAACCCAGAAGTCCTGGTGCCCAGACTCCTCTTTGCATTGCTCGCTCTGCTCTATCTCTGTTTGTCCTCTCCAGGAAGGCACACCTGATCCTGAGGAGGCTGGAGAAGGTCAGCAGTCACTGCTCAACCCTGCTCCGCAGCTCCTACATCCAGAGCCGCACCGAGACCGTGCCCTACTTGTTCTGCCGCAGCGAGGAGGTCCGGCCGCCCGGCATGGTCTGGTACAGCATCCTAAAGGACACCAAAGTGACGTGTGAGGAGAAGATGGTCTCCATGCTGCGCAACACGTACGGGGAGTCCAAGGGGCGGTGAGGGAAGGTGTGGGCCTGGAGCTGCGGGAGGCCAAGGGACTCTGAGGACTCGAGGACTCGTGATGTGCTGAGAGGCTGGTGGGGTTCAGGGTCGGGTGGAAAGGGGACAGCGAGGCCAAACAGGACTTTCTCACACAGACAGCAGAGAAGCAAGAAATCAGCAAGGTGGACTTTCATTTCTTTTCCTTTTTTTTTTTTCTTTTTTTTTTTTTTTAATTTTTGATTTTTTCAAGAGGAAAAAGAAAAAAAAAAGAAATTACCTAATTTGACTCTGCATAAAAGCCTCTCCTTTTTAATCTTTTCTTACTGATTTTCCTGGACTACACACTCCAAAACCCTGGGAGAAGGAGATGCCCTCTCGAAGCCAGAGCCAGGTAGAGGGGAGCTGCTGGGCACAGTTTTTTTCCTGCCCTGCCTGCCCTGCCTGCCCTGCCTGCCACCAGGCAGGAGCTGTGGGGCGAGGGGCCCCGGTGCTGTGGTGGCCCCAGATGGCAAGAGGAGGTGGGGCAGGTGGCTGGTGACACCACATTGCCAGTCAAGGTCCCAGCAGAGGATGCCAGGCAGGTGCCAGGACTCTGCAGGCAAGCTGGGCTTTTGTACCACTCTGAGTGGACGGAGCAGCTCTGTGCACAGCCTTCATTTGCAAGGCTCCTGGCAGCTTGTTCTGTGCATTAAAGGTTCATATTAAGTCCGTCTTTGTTGCTCCTTGGTGTTTCTTCCTGACACCATGTCAATACCACCTGGGCCTTCATGAGCTTTCAGTAGAGGACATCCCCAATGGCTGTCTCCAGGTGGGATGTGGCTGAGATGAGGGGCTGTATCAGGGCAGTGATGCTGACCTCCAGAGCTGGAGGGGAAAGTGCAGTGTCTGTGTCCAGGGTCCTCTCCCTCCCCAACACCCAGCTCGGCCACCACCCCCCGTGGGAGCTGGAGGCATGTGGGAAAGCCCAAGAAGGAAGCCAGAGGCTAAAAAGACTTGGAGAACCTGGTTTCTTTTACTGTCAGATGTGGGTTAGGCTGGCCCGGGATCCCTGTGGGTAATGGATTTCTCAGCCTGGTAGCCAAACCAAAAAGTGTGGGAGGGTGAGAGGGGGGAAAAAAAACAAATATCAGATCAGCTCAAAACTATTGCTTTTTCTTTTTAAAGCAAAACAATGAACCTGGAGGGGGCAAAGGGAACAGTATGGGTTGGATCAATCAGTTTAAACAGCCCAAAGCAATAGTTTTGTTTACTTTTTCAGGTTATTTAACCCTTTAATGTAAAAGCAAACAAGCAGGAGGTAAGTTTCAAAATGAAAATGTTTTGAAAGCAAAAAGCGAGGGAGTTGATGCAGAGGAAGTTCAGCCAGAGACCTTTTCTTCTTGAGCTAAACTTATTTGCCTGATTTGCACCCACTCAAAAAAAATCTGATAATTTCTCCCAAACTGCTCTTTCCCCTTTCCCCCTCCCTTTTGTTATGTCTCTTCACTTGTCTTGTGCCACATTGATGTTGCTGGGAAGGTCTCCAGTACCTGGTCAAAGTCTTGCTGGAGTTAGCAGAAAACTTGGCCTTGATGTAGCAGCCTGTGGAGCAAGTGCCAAAGCATTGCAGGTAGCCCGAGGTCTTCATTTTGAAGCTCAATCTCTTTTTCTGTGAGAGGGAGAGGATGGTGACACTGTAGCATCTGGGCTATGGCCACCATGTCACTGAAGCACAAGGGTCATGGAGGGACCATGATGATGTGTGTGTTAAAACCTCGCTCAGCCCCCAGCACTGCTGCTGCCTGTTCACCACCCCTTTGCCCTTCAGAGGTGGCTGGTGGCCATGGAGTTTTGTTGTGGGGATGAAGGAGATGACAGTGACTTGCATTTACTTGGCCAGAGCTGCTGAATACTGGCATGGGTCTCAGCACCCCCCAGCACCAGCCAGGCCTGCAGCAGGTCTGTGAGCCGCAGAGGTGCTGGAGCTCACAGGTCTTGCACTTCCTGAAATGGGGACACTGGTGCAGGAAGAAGCGAGACAAACTCGGCTCAGCTTTGCTACAGTGTAAAACAAAACACAGCAAAACCCTCAGAGTGCACATGTGCCAGCATCCCAGCCTGGACCTGGACTGGTGTTTCTGGCACCAGGTTGTCACATTGAGCTGCTTATTTCATGTGCTGCTGTGACATGGTATATGCACTGCTGATGGGGGGGAACCCTAAATCCCTCTTTGGAGGCACTGATGTCAATCCTGGACTGATCCTTCCCTCCTGGCAGCTGCAGGGCAGGCAATGGTCCATTGCCCCATGGGATGGGTCCCCCTGGAAGTTGCACGTGTCAGGACTACCAGGGCCAGCAGCACCCACAGAGCCTGGCTGGGTCCAGCCCCACAGGCAGGTGCACCTCCAGGTACTTTGAAGCTTCCTCACCTTCTCAAGGTTCAGCTGTGCCTTTCTCTGTATTTTACAAACACAGTGTTTTCATTTTGCTTGTGTGTATTTTTTTAATTTTTTTTTGCTTGGAAATGATTCATTTCTCTGCAAGGTTCATGCAGTGTGTGCTGTGGTGGGAGCAGCTCTGTGGGTTCTCTGTCAGTGAGAGCCAGTGTCAACCAACCTGGGGAACAAACTGCTCATGTTTGCTGTAATGCCATCCATGGGACTGGAGGCAATTGTGTGTGTGACAGGGTTAAAGCCACCCGTGGGACTCCTGACCATCCACACTCCTAGTGTGGTGCTAGGTGTTAGGAATAGAAGATGGCAGCCAAAATAGAGGGTGACTGGCTGAAGGCCCTTCAGCATGTTTTTCTGCACTCTGATACAATGAGCTCCCCCACCGTGGTGTATTTTGCACCCAGGATACTCATCAGAAGAGCTCAAAGGGAAGGGGCACAATCCACAGCATCGGCCGTTTTGCTGCACAACACCATGGAAAGGGAGACCTGCAACTCTGGTAGCACTGACTTACTGCTGGGAACAAAACCTGAGCAGCACAAGGACAGGCTGGCTGTCCCCCAGGCTCCATGCTGCAGCTGTGGCTGCTGCAGAGATCAGGGGCTTCATTCTTGCTGCTTACCTTGGAAGGCTGCTGAAGAACTGAGCTTCGCATCCATGGTGAGCCTGGCCCTGGTGCAGGGTCCGTGCACAGAGCGAGCTGTGTGAGCTGTGCTAATATGTACACAGCAGGTGGAAGAGTCTAGACTCCTGGGCAGGAAGACTGTGGAGTTTGATGGCTGTTAACCTGTCAAGAAGCACACCTAGCTCCCAGATCAAAGCCAGAAGAGCCTCTGGCCAGTGATGCTGCCCAGCACAGTGTACCCAAGCCAAACAAAACCGAGGAATTTGTCGAGGTTACACATCCGGCAGCGCAGCTGAAAAGAAGGGTCTGTGTTTTCTGGAAACTTTAGAGAATGTAACCCTCCAGCTTTCAAGATAAACAGTTGTAGTCACAGCCTAGCAATGCTGGCAGTGGGACCTGTGCTTCATGGTGTGCGTGAGGATCCCCCCCTGCCTTTCTTCTGCCTCCCTTTGGGAAAAGGGATCCTTGCTCCAAAGAAAGTTGCTGCTACCCCAGAAGCTGGTGCTTCTTGCTAGTCCATACCCAACTTTGCTGTGCCACCAGCCAGACTTTGGCAGAATTGGGGCCAACACTGACCTGGTGGAGAGGAAAGCACGAAGAGGTGAATGAAACATGAACAGTGAGTGGGAAGAGGGGCAAAAAGATGCCCTCACCCAGGTGTAATGGATAAACAATCACTATTTCCAAAAGCTGCAGTTTGCATTCTAATGTGAAGCTGGGACAGGGGGCATCAATAGCTCCTGGATGGAGTCACCAGCTTTTGGATGATTTCAGGTCAAAAGGAGCAGTCTTCTCCATGTGCCTTTGCAGTGAGTAACTGCACCAATGGAGCAGCCACGGGTGCTTGCAGGGCATCTGCTGCTCCCTGCACAGCCTGCCCCTGCTCCCATCCATGGACACCCTAGCACCCCACAAATTCAGCATCAGGAGATGGCTGCTCTGCAGACGCTGCTCACTCTTCCTTTTAACAAACCTATTTACTGCCACTTTCAGCATCCCTTGAACATCTCATCAGCCAGATTTGGGCACCCCAAATCTGCCACTTGTTTGGCAGCTGAGAGCTGGTGACAGCTGCAGGTCCTCCTCCTATGACTGCATGGGGCTGCCCCCCCTTCGGGAGCAGAGTGGCCTTGAACAATCCCCATTGTCCCCATGGCCATTGTTCCCTACCACCCTGGTCCCAGGCTCTGCAGCTGGCACAGGGCACAGAGGGGCCGATTGTTTGGGTGGTTTGCTGCTGCTGACACCACTTTGGGACAGCTTCTTCCCATGACAAAGGCCTCTGGAGTCAAGTGCTGCATTTGCTTCTGTATTTATTTTGTTGGTTTCTGCTTTTCCTCTCTTCTTCATTTTTTTTTTTATTCCATTGATTTTTTTTCTTGGTTGGATGAGGAAAGCTCTGCTGAGGCTGGGGATGGAGCCAAGGGAGGCTGTACAGCCTGGGCAGCCCAGGGCCCCCCTGTCGTGGGAAGGGGTTCTTGGGCTGGATAAAGTCATGCAGTAACACTAATGCTTAGCTATGCCAGTGGCCTGTGATGTGATGGATGCCTTGCTGGCCTGCCAGCTCACACCTTGTTGCACTGGGAGGGTGTAAACTGCATGTTGTACCTTCCGGGCTGGAGGCAGGATTAGCTGTCCAGAAGCTGAGCATCACCAATGCAAAACATTTTGTGTACTGCAAGAAGCATAGGAAAATATTTCTGGTTTTTGTGTTTTTATTGTGGGATTTTTTTTTGTTTGTTTGGGGTTGTTGTTTGTCTTTTTTTTCCCTAAGCACACTTGGCCTGTCTGTCTCCCCCACTGTTGGTGGCCATGATATTAAGCCAGGAGAGACCATAGCACGTAGTCCTACTATGGTGGGAGGGACAGTCCCTGGGCAGCTCTGGCCCTTCAAGTGTCCTTCACAGGACTGGGGCAGGCAGGACTGTGCCCAGGCACCAGGAGCTGCAAAAGCTTCGAGGAACAAGTTGAGTGCTTCAAGCTTTGGCATTTGTTAT